CCAGTGGTCCTAAAGAACAAAAATATGGTCCGTGGCCTCACCATTACTACACTAGTGCCTTGAAGCCACATGGCAACAAGAGCGACTGGTCTTGCAAAAGCCTCTTATAGTGCCGAAGCAACTGGGATGTTAGGAGAGGAGAGACTGACTACCTACGAAAGATTACTACTACCACATCAGCTCTAGATTATTAAATATAGTTTTCTGTGGGTGAACCGATGGCGACTACTGGATGGCATATGTTCTTGATCAGAAACTAGAGCTGATGTGGACTATCCAGTGCAATTTTCTGAATCAGCACCTCCAAATAACCAAACCGAATGGAAAGTTGACCAAAAACTGATTTGGTACTAATGTTGGAGAGTGGTCCTGGTCAAGGCTCCCCTGGTCAAAAAAAGGTTGGGAACCACTGTTCTAGGTCCTCAGAGCTTGAGGAAAGTGAGCTAGTAAATCTGCTGTTTGTAGTTTATGCTTTTTTTCTATTTGGGGTTTTTGGTACAAAGTTTAAAGGAGCTATCCAAGGCACTAGGCTTATTAGAAGAGATACAGTTCAGTATCCAGAGCAGATTCACTGCTCCAGTGAGATGGAAGCCACCAGCTACTGCTGACTATATGTAATATGAATACAGCTAGAGCTGAATAGAAAAAGAGCCACTACAGACAGCATACGCAAACATGTTTACGAATATTAGATAATTTGCATGCTATCTAAAATATGCTTGGGTGGGGGAAATTATTGGTTATCAAATAATAATTGGCAAAAGTTGAGAGGTTCATGATGGCAATGCAGTTTGAAACAGTCCACTTCGCATTCTCCAGTTTTCTGTCGTGTGGCAACGTAGTAGGCTGCTCAGATAGCTGAGATTATATCAGCTAGTCTGTTAGAAGCATCAGATCTGGAGGATTACAGGATTTGATCCAGTATATTCCCTGCCAAAACTGCTATCCCACAAAGGGGGTAGAAAGCAAAAGTAACCAAATGCTTGACTCCCAATGTAAGATCTTACTCTCCAGACCTGTTGTTTCCTCTTTTGGCTTCTCAGTTTTGCTGTCAGTTCAGTGACACTCTGACCCAGAGATGAATGCACTGGGCTGGTTTGTAGGTTGATCTGTCACATGAGCTGTCTGTTTTATGCGCTGTGTACAGCTCTGATGCTACGCTGATTCCGTAAGTGGTTTCTATTTTTGTCTCCTGGTCACTGAGCATTGCCATCTCTTAGCCTTTCTCTTCCTGTTTGTTTCACAATGAGATTATTTTGCTAATGCCCCAGATAGCGGCAGATATATTTTGCCGCTGTTTATTCCCTCAGACTTCAAAGACAAATCCATCAGGAGAAATCCTGAAATCCTTTTTGTCCCTTATTCGTTGCTTTTCTTACCCCACATCAGTAACAGGGCTGCTGTGTATTAACTGATTTTTTTAAAACCTGGTTTCCATCTTTGTTTTTTATTCATAGCATGAAAGAGAGCTACCAATTTACTTGGAGTGCAAAACTTTGCAGTACTTATATTTGTGCGGGATTTTAATTAGTAAGACGCAAAGCATGCTGCTCGGGATGAAGAATTTGGGCGCTGTTGTTCAAAAAATGACTTTTCTGAGCTCAGTTTGATTGTCAGGAGCATAGTGTAATCCTGACAAACATTAAACAAGAACTAGCTCTAACACAATAAATCTTTAGCTGAAAGTAGCAGCTGAGTTCCCCAGATCTTAGAGCCTGACTCTTCTCCTCTTGCCCAGGGAGAGGAGGAATCTGAGCATGAGAGGGTGGTCTTGAAAAGACATCACCTTTCACATTACTGGTAACTCCTTTGTGTCCTTCATCCCACTTTCAGGGAGAAAGGTGGCTGCCTCAGTATTCAAGAGCATCCTATATGGTACTTCAGGATTGCTGCTTTGTGTCTTTTCCTATCTTACTGATTTTCCCAGTTCAATTTGCATCTTCCTCACTCTATGCTAAATAACTGAAGCCACAGTACAGTCTAATGCACACATGGCAAGCTTGTTTTTTGCTGTCCTGGAGATTAGGATGCAGACCAGTGGCTACAAACTACAAGAAAGGGAGATTCCACCTGGACATTAGGAAGAGCTTTCTAATGGTGAGAGCTGTTCAGCAGTGGAACTCTCTGCCCCGGAGTGTGGTAGAGGCTCCTTCTTTAGAGACTTTAAAGCAGAGGCTGGATGGCCATCTGTCAGGGTGCTTTTATTGTGATTTTCTGCTTCTTGGCAGGGAATTGGGTTGAATGGTCCACGAGGTCTCTTCCAACTCTATGAGTCTATGCTTCTAGAGTTACACATATCTTTGTAGTATCTTCTTTTTGAGCTCTGTTTAAGGCATTTGATTCCTTTCTCTTTTTCTAGATTTCACCTCTTTCTCTTCCTACATTTCCCCTTTCTTGTACCACCACTTTGAAGCTCCTGGTGAACTATTTTCTTGGTTGCTGTGAGTTTTCCCGGCTGTTAGGCCATGTTCCATAAGCATTCTCTCTTTCTCCCTCATTCTTTCATCTTCTTCCTCCACATTGTTCTCTAGTTCCTCTCTTTTTTTTTGGTCTTGTTCTCTTGTGTTCTCTCGCTCTCCCTCCTCCCTTCCTCTTCCTCTCTTCCTTCCTCTTCCTCTAGGCAGGCTCTATATCCCAGGATTTGGTCCCAGATTTTCTGTTTATCCCAGATTAACAGGATGATGATATCAACAATTGCCCTCACCATTATCTCCTCCTTCTCCACAAAATATTTTATCATTAGCATTTGATGATTATTAGTAATAGATTACTAATATTTTAGAGATAACAAAAGATTATACTGCCTGACCAGAAAAAAGAAAAGAAGATGTGATCAGAACAGGGCACTGGTTATTGGAGAAGCCCATTCAAAGCAGAGTGGAAGAAAAAAAAAGTTATTTTCCTTAAAAAAGTTTTATTGGTTGGATATAACTGCTATGTGCTGTTTAAAGTAAAGCCAACCTTAAAAACTGTGGCATAAACATCGAGAACTGGGAAGCCCTGGCCCTTGAGCTCTCTAGCTGGAGGTCAGCTGTGATCAGCAGTGCTGTAGAATTTGAAGAGGCACAAATGGAGGGCAAAAGAGAGAAACATGCCAAGAGGAAGGCACATCAAGCCAGCCTGACCAGGATAGCCTTCCACTTGGAAACTGATGCCCTCACTATGGGAGAACATGCAGGTCACGAATAGGGCTCCACAGTCACCTACGTACCCACTGCCAGTACACCACACTTGGAGGACAATCAACGAGAGATCACCTAAGCAAGTAAATAAGTAAAGTAATGACTGGGAAAGTTAAAAACAGAACTAGGACAAGTTTTTTTCCCCATTCAGAGACTATCTTGGAAAAATTTCTTGATGTATGCAACTTTTCCCAGGTGTTTTAAAAAAATGAATTGAAGATGTGGAAAATGAATTTAAATGGACAGCTCCCATAAATTATAACGAAAAAAATTTCTGTTCAACATAGAGCCTGGGAGACAGAATTCCAGCCAAATAAGTATCTTCTAATCTGTTAGACTTTGTGTTTATGACTTGAATGACTTGCTCTGAGCAAGTGTAGTGGATGCTTAACGTGCTTTCACCAGGATTTGCCCCGAAATCTGGGAGCCTGGGATGCCCCTAACTTGGCAGCTCTAGTTACAGCAGCAGTCTTTGAAGCCTGAGCAAGAGGCAAAACCTTGAGTAGAACAAGCAAGAGGAGACTGTTTCTGAAACAGAGGCAGAGGGTAGGTTCTCAGTCTCTGGGCTTCATGGCTCAAAACTCTGATATTCTGATATTGATAGCCTTTCCCCCCAACAGATAGCATCTCGTACCTTTGGTATTAATACCACCAACTCTTAAAACTGAAGTCTGCCAGATCACATTGATTTCTCTTCTCCTTCATGTAAACATGTGAAAAGAGGGCATGAGGTACACAATCCACATGGAGTAAAATGGAACAAAGTACGGTAGGTTCATTTGGAGTAATCTGGGCACCTTCTGTTATTTCGTTTTTATACGTGTGCTAGAGCAGCCATGAGTTATCCCACCTTTAGTGGCATGTTCTAGCTATGGCTTTGTGCTTGAAACCAAAATAAAAATACAATATAGCCTCTCTAAGAGCACTTTACTATGCTGTATGAAACCAGAGCTTGAAAACATTCCTTTTCCGTATGCAGTTCCTTGGATATTGGATGCTGTAGTCCCCAAAATGTACATTCCCAAGCAATGCCTGGAATCAGATATCAGATGTGCCAGGTATACCTCAGCTTGATTTAAAATGTAGATGCATGTCCCACCCCTGTCCCTTTGCTATGCAAATACACCTACAACTATCTACTTTTCCCTTTTTATTGTCGCATCCAAAGGGAGATGGAGAACTGACGTGCTTGACAGGCTGATAAAAGGCAGTGGAGATAATATGGAAGGTTGACTCTCTGCAGAAAATCTCAGCAGCTTGGACTGACTCATCAAATCCCAGGAGCCTGGAAGCATTCTGCAGAAATGTCACACAGGCCTCCTGCATATTAATCAGGAAGCCGTGGGGAGCTCCTTCTCCGCACCTCGCTCCCCAGCCAGGTCTCATCTCTACTTAGGCGAGTGATCAATTTTTGTCATTTGCTTAGAAAGATATTTACTACTTGGATCTTAACATTTCAATCTGTTACTTTTTCAGTATAATCTTTAGGATGTGGAAAATGTTCACATGTTCACATTAATGACTCCTGTAGGGCAAGTAGGGGGGAGGTTGTATGAATCAAATCCCCCCCCCCCTCAGTGTTTCAGTGGGTCTGCTGCTCTCATCCACCCTGTTATGTATTGAGAACTCATTCCAGATTTTTTTTTCCATACCAACAGATTTGCAGTGGGAAGTAATAGAGAAAATAATAATGTGCTTTTTAATAAGACACATGAGACCATTTATATGCGTTTGTATAAGCAAAAATGTGCTTCTTCCTTCTTGTCACATCTTTCATCATTATTCAAAACTTTCAAAAGGAACAGCTATAACTACAGTTGCCAGAGTGAAAACTGGATTGAACACCCTCTAATGATTGTGTAGAAGAGAGAGTTTTGAGCAGTTGCTGCTTGTGTAGCAAGGGTTATAAGCAAAGTAGCAAATCCTAATTATATGAAACAAGGTATCCTGCCCTCTGTGGATCCTCAGAGTTCACTTGATCTGTACAGATACATCCACGCTGTTCTTTATTTATTTATTTGCAGTATTTATATTTCGCCCTTCTCACCCGACAGGGGACTCAGGGCAGATTACAATTCACATATACATGGCAAACATTCAATGCCATTAGACCTACAACATACATAGACATAGAGGCAATTTAATATTCCCGTTTTTCCAGCTTCATGATTCCGGCCACAAGGGGAGCTGCTGCTTCACTGTCCACTTGTGACACTGAATCCTTTGATGGAGTACTTCCTCATTCTTCTGCATGCCACTGGAAGGTTTTATGACAACGTATATTAGTTAAATTAGCCTCCCCGCATAAAGTGGTACCTACATTTCCTACTTGACAGATGCAACTGTCTTTCAGGCTGCATAAGTTGACAGCAAGCTAGACTGTTAATGGTTGGGTGCTTACTCCGACCCGGGCTGGCTTTGAACTCATGACCTCTCAGTCAGTAATGATTTAATGCAGCTGGCTACTAACTAGCTGTGCCACAGCCCGGTCCTCTTTGACATCTTGATACCTAGAATTCATAGCAGAGATTGCTTTTTAAGTTGTGACCATTCATGTTGAGCAGTGATTCCTAACCTTTGGTCCTCCAGGTGTTTTGGATCTCAACTCCCAGAAGTCCCAATCAACTTGACCAACAGTCGGAAATTATGGGAGCTAAAGTTCAAAATAATCAGAGTGCTAAAATTTGGGAACTGCTGGTGTAGTCTGGGGGAAAAGCTTCTCTCCAGATGTTGCTGCTCTCCACTTTACCCCGGCAATTCCAGTCTGACTAATGGCAAGGCATGATGGGAGTGGTAGTTCATCAACATCTGGAAGATTCCTAGCCATGAGGAAACTTAAACAAAAACTATGTGAGCACCCCAAATGCAAACATCAACTTTTAATAAGGAATACAAATGATCCAGTAAAGAAGAAAAAAACCGTGGAAAGCGAGTTTGTGCCACCTTTAAGAATTATTGATTTATTGTTATTTCTGTCTTTTCTTCTCTCCACCCACCCACTCTTTTTAACTCACCAATTTCTTCCCACATTTTTTCTTTTCTTGTTTTTTTCTTTTTCTCTTCAGTTGTTAGTGCACTTACCCATTTCCCCTGGTTTTAATCATTATTAAAACAACTATTTTAGTTCTCTCTCTCTCTCTCATATATATATATATATATATATATATATATATATATATATATATATGAGATAATTATTGATTTATTTCTGTATGAATTTAATGGATTGCAATCTACTTCTGCAAAAAGCATAATATTTGGTCTTCAGATAGATAGATGCACATAGTTGTGATGATGAGATCAGTGGTACAGCCTGATTCAACACTGAAATTAATGTGAATTCATCTCCTGCACTGACCAAATAATTGAGTAGCCCCAATGTTGTGAGTAATATTATTATGAGACCAAAATAATGCACTTATCAAAATGAAACAGAAACTGAGTTGGCCTTCTGAATTTGTAGAAGTTCTTGTCTCTGTCTTTTCATCCACATTTTGGAGCAGTTTATTATATGGGGAGCAATTATCAGTAAGCCACTATAGTCTGCCACCAAGTCTGCAAGAGGGTTGTTGTTGCATTGTCCAGAATACATTGCAGCTTGTGTCGGTTGCATTTCAGTTTTCTCATCTTGGAACGCTATGTGACAATTAGCAATGGTCTGCTACTTTCCATTTTGTGTTCATCCAAATCTTGCATTATTAGTTTGATCACCCTCACCCATCTCATTGGATGGCACTGTAGTTTGAAAGAATGTTTATTCAGGTTTATGATTAAGTGTTCCTGTTATTTTATTCTGTATCCCCTTTCATTCTAATCTTGGCCACTACAGGCAGTCCCTAAGTTACGAACAAAATAAGTTCTGTAGGTTTGTTTTTAAGTTGAATTTGTATGTAAGTCGGAACAGGTTCATTTTGAAAGTGTAACTCCAGCCATATATATAATAAGCCATTTTCCTTTTCAAAATCCAATTATCAGAGGGACAGAAAGTGAGGTGAAATCTTCTGAACAGGGGCATGGACAGCAAAACAAACACAACAAGGGAGTTAACCCTTCCCTATGCTATCTAAAGCTATATATTCCAAACCCCAGGATTCTATAAGGTGGGAAGTCATGACTCTTAAAGTAGTATCAAAGTGATACAATTGTGCAGCATGAATGAGAAAAATAGTCTTAAAAGTACCATGTGTGTTCTTTTGTTCTCTCCCCCTCCCCCTCTCCACCACACACACACACACACACACACACATCTTTTTACATGCAAGTAGGGACCTCACATTGGGAAGAAAAGTGTTTATTATTGCCTGGTTGTCACATTTCCTGAGTTTCAACATCCTATATTTGACTTCCCTTTTCTGTCATATGCATGGTAAAATACAAAAGCCCCGTTTGCTTGCCAAAGAAACTCTGTCACCCAAGAAAGTGAGATCACTGCTTTTGCTTTAGCACTAGTCCCAGTATGTTGTGGCTCTCTCACCACTCCCACCCCCTTAACACAGTATTCACCCCTTTCCTGCTGCCACCCCAGCTATGCAATGCCTTCCTTAAGCAGGGCCACCTGGCACCTCTGTTTACATCTTTACTTTATTCACCCAGTCCATTGAACACCATTCCAAACTTGCTTTTGACCTTCCCAGCATTTACATGTTGGGAATGCTCTAGATGGAGATCCACACTGAGCAGGCTGTTGAGCCTGGTGGCCTACAGGACCCCTTCCAACTCTGTGATTCTAGTATTGCTTTGTCAACAAACACACAGCACTCCCTTGTAAATGCCTGAATCTTTTTGTATGGGGTTCAATTACATTTGTGTATATGACTGCACTGAAACTTTTGTATATGTTGACATACCCTTTCAGAAAACTGTACTGTAGAATAGTGTTTCCCAAGCTTTTTTTGACCACGTGTTGCATTTCAGAGCAGGATCCCCTCTGACTTTAAACACCACACAAGCAGTTTATTGAAGGTAATAAAAGCCAAAGCAATAAAAAGTAATCCACAGTAAAAAGGTAAATCCAATTGATTAGGAAGAAAAGGGAGCAATTAGTCCAGAGAGAAATAGTCCAAAGAAGTCCATGAAACTAGAGTCTTGATTTCAAAGGCGAAATAATAGCAAAGGCACTTAAACAAGAATCGAACAAAGACGAAGGTCCAGGAACTTGGCATGAAGAATTTATCATGAATCCAACATTGCTTCATCTGAAGCTAGAATCAGTACTTGGCACTTATATCCCTACTTTGTTTCCCAAACAGCTAAGAACGGATTTTTCCTTAACTTTGGTTTCACTTCTGCTCAAATCTGGCTGAGCACCTTAATTTCTGATTTGTTTGTCTTCGCTGGCTAAAAGCACTTCTTCTGTTCAAGGCTTCATTAAAATCAGCATCTGGAGATAACTGACCAGGAGACTGTGGTACAGAGCCTTTCCCAGGCTCAAGACCTTGAGAATCTCTTTGCAGCAATACAGGCCTCTCCATCCCATCAACTGAACTACATTCAGGCCCCACATCTCTAAAACCAGGCCTACGAAACAGACCATCATCCCAATTCCTTTCAGGAACATCTTCATGGACAGCATCCCCATTCCCATCAGAGGAATCAACTTGAACATGAACAACATTGTCATTCCCATCATCCAAAGCAACCTGATCATTAGACACAATAACAGGCTGAACAGGCAGACATACAACACCAGGGACCACTTTGACCATGGATCACTTTGACCATTGAGCACTCTCCAACATGAGTACCAAAAGGGTTACAAATCAGTTTTTGGTCAATTTTAGATTTGGTTTGCTTATTTGGGGTGCTGATTAAAAAAAATTGCATTGGATAGACTACATCAGCTCTAGTTTCTGATAGAGAACAGATACCATCCAGTAGTCTCATAGAATCATAGAATCAAAGAGTTGGAAGAGACCTCATGGGCCATCCAGTCCAACCACTGCCAAGAAGCAGGAATATTGCATTCAAATCACCCCTGACAGATGGCCATCCAGCCTCTGTTTAAAAGCTTCCAAAGAATTTTTAATATGCCTTGGCACTATAAGAGGGTTTCACGAGACTAGTCACTCTAGTTGCAACCGTGCAGTAACAATGAGATTGCAGACCATATTTCAGTTCTTGCGGAACACTGGTGGTCAACAGGTCACAGGTTGGGAACCACTGCTGTAGAGCGTACTTCTTTCCTTTAGATATTTTTTTTATTTTTTAATGTATCTCTGTTTTTAATATAAAATGTATATCCCATCCTTTTGGACCAATACACCCCTAAGGATGAGTAAGAAATTAAAGTCCCCTCTCTCTATTTCATTCTCTCTCTCTCTCTCTCTCTATATATATATATATATATACACACACACACACATACACACATTAGAATATATGCAATACATAATATTCAACTGAATACAATTATGAACACATTTATTCTTAGCAGAGAAATTATGCATCTCACTGCCTGTTGCTAGGGAACATGAGTGGGTGCTATTACACACATGTCCTTCTTGTGGGCCCTCTGAGGACATTCCATGGGTATGTGGCTGCCCACTCTGGGACTAGTATTTTGACTTGATTCTGCAGGACTCTTCCTATGTTTCTGCTTTGAAGCTTTCCTAAACAGAAAGGTTTTAATTGCGTGACTTATCCTCCTATTTGGTCCTCTCTAGATGTAGTGTCTTCAACGTATGTAAGCATGATTCTCTTGGAGTCTTTAGATGCCATCAATGAGAAAATCTGCTCTGTTTCCTGACTATTAGTATAACAGCAAGCTATAAAGG